TTGCATATTTAAATTTTTTTATTGAAGTAGAAATACGTAATGTACATGTGTCAAAAGCAAATGGCTTCATAAATTTTCACAAACTGTATACCCCTCTGTAATGAGTACTCCGATTAAGAAACAGAAATTATAAATTTAGTCCAGAAGCCCCACTCTTGACATCATCTAGTTAATATCCTGCTTTCTTTCCCAAATGGAAACAATATCCTGACCCTTAATGACGCTGCCTTTTCTTCCTTCTCTCTCTTCCTCCCTTCTTTCCTTCTTGGCTTTATGAAAAATTGTTGAACTAGTTTGAGGCTTTGGATGATGGATTTTGGTTTGTTTGTAGAATATTCAGGGTATCAACCCTCTGAGTTAGCTTAACCACCTCAATTGTAGATTGAGAAGATTAAAAGCTGAGCTTTAATTTTATCTTCTTTACTCCCTAGGGTATAGACTCTCAGGCTTTTAAACTAAAGACTAGGAGAGTTATTAGGAATTTTGCTTTTTGGTAGATCCTGACCTCCAGTTTTTGTTTCTGTATTTTTATGAATTTTATGAATTTTGATTTGTAGAAGTTTTTCTTTTTTTCTTTTTTTGAGAAAGATTAGGCCTGAGCTAACATCCGTGCCCATGTTCTATTTTATGTGTGGGACGCCTGCCACAGCATGGCTTGGTAAGCCGTGTGTAGGTCCACACCTAGGATCCAAAAAGGTGACCCCTGGGGCCAATGAAGTGGAGTGAAGCAAACTTGACCACTATGCCCCTGGGCCGGCCCCTGTAGAAGCTTTTCTTGATAGCTTTGTTAGATCCTTGAATTTTATGGGGGACAGGTACTAATGAAAGAAAAAACTTCCATTGCAGTCTTTTTACTAAAATTGCTATCATAATCCCAAAGACTTGTACTGCAAAGTAAGCAATATGATTATGTTCTTTATTGAAATAATATAATTGAATTTTAATAAAGTCTGTTAATAATGAAGGAGAAATAGAATGAATAAATGCTTATTGAAAGCAGCTTTTTATGTGCATTTGTGGATTTTAATTTTTAGTTACAGTGCTGTGTTAATACAGCAGTTTCATCGTGTATCAGTTTCAGGTGGAGTTTGAATATTTATTTGATTGAAGTTGGCTAAGCATTGTAGGTGTGTACTTATGCTTAGAGAATGTGATTGTTTGTGTATCACTTTATTAGTTTACTAATTGAGTTAATAAAACCAGTTTGGCCTGAAGCTCCATATAGGAGCAGTCACTCAAGTATGGCCTTGATATAAAAATATATCTCACTTACAGTCCCCACTTCTTTTGCTTTTTGAAGCACTAAGAGGCAAGTAGTTTGTTTTGATTGTGTATTCAAAGGAAGAGGATAATGCTACAATTTGTAGTTCACTCTCAAAGATGGGTATTATTTAAACATTTTCTTGGGTTTTCAAAGAGTATAAATTTGGTGTTTCTTCTGTTTTGGAGCATTTCTTAAGATTTTTTTATTGTGGATTTAAAAAATACTGACAATATGCTTACTTCTAAGAAACCGAATGGTCATATTTTTGATGAAAAGTGTTTTCAGTGATATTTTAGTCAAGAGTCAAGTAAAGACTATGTATTATCTGTAGGCACTTAGCAAGGGAAAAATACTTCTAAAGAAGTGATATTAACTTGAAGCATTTTAGATCATTACTTTTATTGTTATATTATAAATATGTACAAATAGCTTTTAAGTGATTTACTGATGTTTTCCTCAATTTTATTCAATTAAACTTTCTATCTTAAGGTAACTGTAGATTCACAAGCAGTCGTAAGAAATAATACAGAAAGATCTGGAATAACCTTTACTCATTTTCTCCTGATGGTAACATCTTGCAAAACTGTAGTAATGTATTACAACCAGGATATTGACACTGATACAGTCAAGATTCAGAACATTTCCATTGCAAGGATCCTTTATGTTGTGATTTTATAGCTAAACCTACTTCCTTCCCTGTGCTTAACCTGCCTCCCCTTAACCTCCATAGGTTATTAACCATAACCCACTAATTGGCTCTCCATCGCTATAATTTTTTCGTTTCAAGAATGTTAAATAAATGGAATTATACAATATATAGCCTTTTCATATTAATCTTTTTCACCATACTTCTCTGGAAATTAATCAGAGTTGTTGTGTATATCAGTCGTTTGTTTTTTATTTCTGAGTGATATTCCGTGGCCTAGGTGTTTAACCATTTTGTTTAACCATTTGTTTAACCAGTTGTTGAACCATTCATCCATTGAAGGACATCTGGGTTGTTTCCCTTTTGGCTAATAGGAATAAAGCTGGTATGAATATTTGTGTACAGTTTTTTGTATGAGAATACATTTCCATTTCTCGGTGATAAACACCCAAGAGTGCAATTACTGGGTTGTATAATTGCAGAAACTGCCAACCTGCCAGAGTGGCTGTAACCTTTTACATTCCCACCACAGTATATGAGGGATCCCTTTCCTCTCTGTCCTTACTATCATTTGCTGTTGTCACTATTTTTTGGTTTTAGATGAGAGCCCTTCTATTATGTGTGTAGTGATATCTTGCTGTGGTATTAATTTGCATTTCCCTAATGGCTAATGAAGTTGATTATCTTTTTATTTGCTTTTTGCCATTTGTGTATCTCCTTTGGTGAATTGTTTGTTGATTTCTGTATTAGTTTGCTAGAGCTGCAACAGCAAAATAGGACAGACTGGGTGGCTTGATCAACAGACATTTATTTCTCAGTGTTGTAGAGGCTGGAAGTCCGAGACCCAGGTGTTAGCAGGTGTGGTTTCTCCTGAGGCCTCTCTCCTTGACTTAGAGATGGCTGCCTTCTCTGTGTGTCCTTACATTGTCCTGTCCTGTAGGACCACAGAAGTCTGACAGCCGTCCTTCATTTTGTCCCGTCTCTCCCCTTTGTTCCAAGCTGGCAGTGTTTCTGCTGGTATAATCCCATCTCTACTCCTGGCTTCTGCTGAGATGTCAGATTAAATCCATGATCGGTACTCATGACCTTTTTATCAAATGATTTTCAAGCCACACCCTTGGTGTTCTCTTCTGAAGACGCTTTCTCGATTTTTGTGATATGAGTAGCCTGAAAATGTCCAAATCTTCAAGTTCTGGTTCCCCTTTGCTTAACATTTCCTTCAATTTATCTTTCTTTCTCATGTTTACTATAAGCAACAAGGAGAAACCAGGCTGCGCCTTCAGCACTTTGCTTAGAAATCTCCTCAGCTAAATATCCAAGTTCATCACTTTTAGCTTCTACTTTCCACGTACACCAGAACACAGTTGAGCCAAGTTCTTGCCACTTTGTGACAAGGATTGCCTTTCCTCCAGTTTCCAATAACATCTTCCTCCTTTACCTCTGAGATCTCATCATAATCACCTTTAACATGCATATGCCTGCCACAGCTTCTTCAAGGCGATCTAGGTTCCTCGCTCAGCCTCCATTGACACCTCCGGGAGGTCGTGCTCATTGTCACGGTGGTGAATGTGGGATTTCTGGCTCCCCACTAATACTCCCCTGGTAACGCTCTGGCTGTGAGGGATAGAAGTGCTTCATTACAGTTCCACATGTGTCCTCCACTAACACCATAGAGTGGTGTGTCCTTGTTGTCACTGGGTGGTGGTGCTGCAGGTCCTGAGTACCCTAAGCACCCTCTCACCCTCGCCCAGTGGGGAGGGACCTGATCACCTCCTCACTGAGGGATGGGATTGGATCTTCACGCTCCTCACCTGGTCCCCACTGGCACCGTGGGGTGCCTGCTTACCTCCTGGCGGGAATTAAAGTCTCGGTCCCATCTATACCTTTTCTGACACCGCCCCAGTGGGATGGTTGGGGCATCTCATTACAGCGTGGTGAGGGTGGAAGTCTGGGCTACCCATGTCAGCCTCCACTGGTGGGGGTGGGGCTGGGGCTGTAGTTTTTTTTCTAGTGTTGGCTGTACGAGAGCAGTTACTTTCTAAAAGGTTTCTGTCTTGCTAGACTTTGCCTTGTCTTTTCCTTTGGCCACAGAGAGCAGAGTTTTGGAGGGTTTGTTTATCTATGCTTGTTGGTGTTTCTGCCTTACCAGCTTCTCTAGAACCCGGTCTGATATATGAGGTAGAAATGAAAACCCAAGGAACTCACTGTTGTGTCCTTCTTTGGGTCCTGAGGTCCCTATCCAGTCTTTCTGCTTCTCTCTGCCTTTCCTTTCTTACGTTTGTTTTGTGTATAATGTCTCGGGTTTCTGGTTTACACAGTGAGAAGAATGGGCGAAAGTACATCTGCTCCATCTTCCCAGAAATGGAAAGTATATTTCAGGTACTTGGCAACAGAAGTTACCTCTAAACAGTGATTGAATTGGATCCACCTACGTGGATATTATTGTCTTTACCTGTGCTTTTGTTTGTTTATTTTTAGGACTAAATGCCTATAGGCTGATTTTATTGGCAGAGATAATAGAGAATTCAAATGAAAAGTACAAAAGAAAAACATAGAATCAACTCCTATGGATACATGTAAATCTCAAGCTGAGTCTTTCTTGACAACGCAGACAGCTGCTTAATCACTAGTTTTTAACCTGTCAGGCTTTATTCTGATTTTTTTATGTGTGTTGCAGTTCAAACACTTCTCCTCTTTCTTCTGACCCTTTGATTCAGTTACAGAGTGGCTGATTATTTATGGACATAGTTTTCAGGGTGTAGGTGTTCCCTCTTAGAGGCTTTGTCAAGTTTTCCCTTTGGGCAGTTGTGGGTATTTCTGTGGAAATTTAATCTTTTCAGAGGTTTACTGTGTAATAGAAAAGAAGTGTGATCTGTTGCACTAAAGGACAGTTATTGTGTTATAAAATATGAGAAAAACCAAGGCCTTTCTTTCGTATAGGTAGCATAATATTTTCAAATTGCCTCAACAGTAGTATTCTACAGTAAATTATTATCGTTATTGTAGATGTTAAAATGGAAGATTTCTTTGTATAATATTTGTGCTGTTCAAGGTTTGAACTAATCTTGAGATTGTATTTCTCTCCTGTAGGATGATGGTCTGGAAGACAATGAAAAGAGTTTCTATGACTCTGATGATGAACAGAAGGAAAAGACTGACAAAAGGAAGAAGCCATATACTATGGATCCAGACCATAGACTCTTAATTCGGAACACAAAACCTTTGCTTCAGAGCAGGAATGCAGCGGTATGTCAAAACCCTTGTAAGAAATAATTCACTGGGGCCAGCCCCGTTGGCCAAATGCTCTGCTTCAGCAGCCCAGGGTTTCGCTGGTTTGGATCCTGGGCGCAGACATGGCACCGCTCATCAGGCCTCGTTGAGGTGGCGTCCCACATGCCACAACTAGAAGGACCCACAACTAAAAATTATACAACTATGTCCTGGGGAGAAAAACCAAAAAAAAAAAAAAGGGGGAAGATTGGCAACAGTTGTTAGCTCAGATGCCAGTCTTTAAAAAACAAAAAGGAAGAATTCACAGATTTTTTTAAATGTTGGTTAAACAAGTTCAATAAATAAATATTTTTGAGTGTGCTAATGGAGCATTTGTTTATACACCAAAAACTCAGGTTTTGATGAAATTCCTTGGTTTGGTAGTTGTATGTCGACTGGATTTCATGCACTTTTTTGTGGTTTTGTTAATTGGCTTTTCCTAAGATGTAAACTGAAGATGTTTCTCAGGTGATTGGAGGACTGTATGTATTTCTCTATTACTTGATTGTGTTCGAGGGCTTAATCTGATATCAGTCCCTAATATTCGTTTCTTCCAGATAAGAGTTTAAGAGACTAATGTATAACAAAAGCACCCAGCATAATGCCTCATACAGAATAAATTTTAACTGGTAGGAATAGCAATTAAAAATCATCTTCCTTTGGGTCAGGGCCAACCCAGTGGCACAGTGGTTAAGTTCGCATGCTCTCCTTCGGCGGCCCGGGGTTCACGGTTCGGATGTCAGGTGCAGACCTGTGCACCTCTTGTCAAGCCATGCTGTGGTAGGTGTCCCACATATAAAGTAGAGGAAGATGGGCCTGGATGTTAGCTCAGGGCCAATCTGCCTCAGCAAAAAAAAGAGGAGATTTGGTGGCGGATGTTAATTCAGGACTAATCTTCCTCTAAAAAAGAAAAAATGGTCTTCATTTGGGTCCTAAGTTTATTTATTTTATAACTGTTGATTTTAAATAACCTTTTATATTTTATTTACTTTTTTGGTGAGGAAGTTTGGCCCTGAGCTAACATCTGTGTCAATCTTCCTCTATTGTATGAGGGAGACTGCCACAGCATGGCTTGATGAGCGGTGTATAGGTCCATGCCCAGGATCTGAACCTGGGACCCTCGCACTGCCAAAGTGGAGCACACAAGCTTAACCACCGTGGGCCACTGGGCTCGCCCCAAAATATTTTAGAAGACAAAGTAGAAAATTAGAAAATACAGAGTAGCAAAACTGAAAAAAAATTAAAACATCATATTCCCATCACTCAGAAATCGCTGTTATAATATCTTAATACATTTTCTTCCAGATCTTTTTTCTGCATAAATGTACATATATTCACTGTGTATGTCTATACATATATATTTTTTAAACCAACATAGAAATCATACTCTACAAAATATTTTTTTCTAGTCAGCTGTCTCCACCTTTCTATTTCAATAAAATTTCATCTCATTTAATACCAATTTATCTTACATTATCTTTGATAAGCGGTTAATCTAAACTGTTATCTACTGCATTGCATCTGGTTATTATTTCTTTTAAACCTCTCAGATCTTGCAGAATGTTCTTCTGGGTTTGTCTGGTTGCTTCCTTAATAGTGCTGTTTAATTTTTTCTTCTGTAATCTATGTTTTCTGTTAACTGATAGTTATGTCTGATGACTTGATGGATTGAAGTTAAGCATTTTCTTAAAATTTTTTTAATTAAAAAATATTCGTAATGAATTGTTCTGTTTAATTAGGAAAAACTTTGAAAATGAGGAATTTCACTCGAATTACTTTGTTTTCTGATGCTTGAGAATTTAGAGCTTAGAGCTTTGTATATCTATCTTAGTAGTTAGTAGAAGTTTTTATCTTATACCTAGTAATTTCGTTTCTTAGTCATTATCATGTAACCATACAGAGTAATAACAAAAACATAATTTTACTACTGTTGTAAAATATGCTTATATTTTAGTGTGCCCTAGCTTGGCCACGGGGTACTTAAGTAAGTGTAACTTGCCACCTAAAACTCTCCTTTATAATTGACTCACTATTCATTTAACTTTGTCTTAGAAATTGATTTTATAGTCCAAATACTCACCAATCAGAAATGTTCTTGAATGGTGAAATGGATAGAGGTGGTTTGTACTTTTTGTTCCAGTATGTTTTGGTTCCATGCTTATCTGATAGAGGTACTTTACTTTTTTATTCCAATGTGTTTTGGTGTCTTGCTTATTTGATGCTGCTAGATATATATACACATGTACATATGTATATAACGACTGACTTTTGAAGGATTGTGAGTAGTTTTTTTCTTTGTTTTGGGCTCATTCTCAAGTTACAGGAGAGACTGAGAATTTGTTTCAGGAACTTAGCTGGTCAGTGCTGTGTGGCTTGAACTGGAGATCAGAGATACTGGAAGCAGAATGTTGGGAGGCTGTTGTAACAGTGTAGATAAGGTGCTAGTGGTGTGAATGATTAGGAATAGAAAAGCGCTTACAGGATCTACTTGATTCTGAACGTACGTAAGGTAACTGGAGGAGGCCTATGAGGCTGTCTACTTTTAGTCATTTTGGACTTTGGAGTTATAGGAGCTTCCCTCATGCTTTTACAAATTAGGCTATAAATTTCAAATTCTGGGTATTGGAGAAACTTGAAACTGTTAGATTTGTGAATACTGGGGGAAGAGAACATCATATAGCTCTTTTGCGTTTGAGAGTGCCTTAATTAACATGTCAGAACAGATCACATCCTAAGTGGAATCTAGGATCTTAAAGACATGGTCATATATAGAAGGTACAGGTTACCTTCTTGCCAGTAGCATTGGACTTACTATTTTTAATAGAAAAAGATTTATCATTTGTAAAACACATTAAATTAAGCTTCAATTTTCTTTTGTATCGTATACTAATACTTATTAGCCAGCTGTATGCTTTAATATTTTTTAAAATGACTATCACCTACTTGTAGATTGTCAATCATTAATTGAGATTTTGTTTATAAGATTTTTAATTCAGGAGAATTTGTTCTATAATCAAAGTGTGTTTGTGGATCACAAGTGAAAAAATAAGATATCCTTAAACTCCTCAAATTCCCAAGTAATGTCTGAAAGCTATAAATCAGTCTTGTGAAGAAAAGTATAACAAAATGCCAAACAACAGTAAATTTAGGACTGTAAACTGTATTTTTAAAGAATGTATCTTAGTTTCAGAAGAAGCTCATTTTACCTCGAGCCCCCTTCAGTGCTGTGCACTCTTTAGGCATGTGAAAACAGAGCTTCATGGACCAAGCAGAAGGAAAGTGGTGTTCATGTATCTCCTGAGCTAAAGACAAGATGATGGAACTCCTGCAGCTCTGTCTCTGCAGTTGTCACAGGTCAAACTGGATCCTTGGAGTGAATGGGAAGCCCGGACTTCAATCTCTGATCTGAGTGTAGAGGCATGTGGGGCAAACGTAGAAATCTTTATTTTGTGCCAGAGAAATTCTCATCACCCTTGTAATGGCTTTGAACCAAAGACTAGTTTTAAGGTTCTGCCTTTTGGAAAAAAGATCGTTTCGAATGCTGCTGTTTTCGAGGGATTGTTTTAATAGAGTTCTTTTAATTATAACTTAAATGTACTGATTTTTAAAAATTTGAGCTTACTTGTTACTATTGTCCTGAAGTGTCTGGCTTTATTTGGAAAGGTGTGCTTGCAATTTTTTACAACTTCTCAATCTTGGAGCAGCAGCTGCAGTACTGGGAGGAGTGTGGGATTTGGCATGTCGTGTCCAGCTTTGACCTGCTCTGGCTCGCAGACCTTGAGTAGTTCCTTTGACATCTGTTTTCTTTTTTGAGGATGAAGTCGTTTCCTAGGATTATTAAACAGATTACCACAGGCTGGGTGGGTTGAAACCACGGAAATGTATTCTCCCACATTTCAGGAGGCCATAGGTCCAAAATAAAGCTGTCCACAGGATTGGTTCCTTCTGGAGGCTCTGAGGGAGAAACTGCCTTTTGCTGGCTTCTGGTGGTTGCCAGCACTCCAGCATTCCTTGGCTTTTAGACACATCACGTCTGCCTCCATCTTCACGTTGCCCTCTTCTCTGTGGGTGCTCTTCTGTCTCTCATAATGACACTCTCATTGGAGTTAGAGCCCACCCTAATCCAGTGTGATCTCATCTCGATCTTTTACCCTAATGGCATCTGCAGACTTTACTTCCAGACAAGCCCACGTTCTGAGGGTAGGCATGAATTTTTGGTGGGGATACTATTCAACCTGCTACAAAGGGTAACAGCCTACTCACCTTACTTCACAGGAGTTTTGTAGGAGTTAAGGAAATAACATGTGAGAAAGTACAGTGAAACTGTGGGGCGCTCCAGTGTTCATGGTTCTTACTGTTTTCACTCTTTCTCTTTTAGGTTGTTATGGCAGTTGCTCAGCTGTATTGGCACATATCACCAAAATCTGAGGCTGGCATTATTTCTAAATCACTAGTGCGTTTGCTTCGTAGCAATAGGTAGGACATGATTTCATATATGCTTTTTCTTTTGTATTTTTTCAAAAGTAATGTTTAAACAAATATAATCTGCCTTTCAGGCATTTAATACATGGTTTTGACTGTATTTTATCATTAAGGTTTCATACTTGAGGGGATCGTCATTATGCAGTTTATCTCAAAGTTTATGATAAATGTTGAAATTTTTTTAACCTCAAACCCAAAGAGATTGAAAATATTTTTTGGCATATAGTATATGCTGTCACCGGTAGCCTAGTATTAGTGTTTGATATTTCTAGGTATGCCAATAATAATGTTTGGAAGTTCTGGTAAGTCTGAAAATCACTGAAAACTATAGTAATATATTATTAGATTGACTTAGTGTATTTGTATGATTTTATATAGAGCAGTAATACATAGGGTAAATTATGTAGTTTATGACCGAATTGCTGCTGGCTATAAAGTTGCAATGTTTGATTACTGTAGTTTACTCTATTTAAAAAGGGGGGTATATTCTTAATAGCTACTTATTTTAAAGAAATACATACTCCTTTCATTTCCTGTAGATAGAAAGATAAATAGATAGCAAGAATACACTTCTCTTGTTTATTTTTATTTTTTGCAGGGGAAGATTTGCCCTAAGTTAACGTCTGCTGCCAGCCTTCCCCCATCTTTTTTCCTTTTCCCCTCCAAAGCCCTAGTACATAGTTGTGTATAGTTGTAGGTTCTTCTATATGAGCTGCCACCACACCATGGCTACTGACAGACGAGTGATGTGGTTCCATGCTGGGGAACCAAACTAGGGCTGCCAAAGTGGAGTGTACCGAACTTTGACCACTAGGTCATCAGGGCTGGCTCAAGAATATCTTTCTCTTTAGTTTTACCTCACTATAATTCAGCAGTTCAGGTCAGCAATTCAGAAAACTTTTATTAAGTTCCTGTGACATGTACTTTCAAATTTTAAGATCATATTTTTATTGTTTGTTTTGTTTTCTGTGTTTAAGAATACCATTGTTTCAGCTATTTAGCTTACCCAGGGTACTTTGCATTAATTAGTTAATTTAAAATAAAAATTTTTTTCATTGAGCACTTGCTGCTAGTAGAGTTGGGGGAAAAAGACACGTGTTTATTTTTGCCCTTGACTAAAACTCTGTGCCACAACTTTAGCCCTAGGCTGGCTTTTGCCATCCGTCAGTAAGATGCTATGTCCTTGTGTTCCTCTTCTCTCCTTTGTCTTTGTACAGGCATTCTTTTCCCTTTTATCAGTTCAATAATTTTTCCTTTCTAAAGCTCGTTCAAAGGTTGTCAGAAGGATCTGGAATGCATCTTTCACATGAAGCCTTATGCCAGATTCAGTTCTACCTTCATTTCTTAGCTGTTTGGACATGAAATAACGTGACTGTTCTTTTAACCTGTCTTCCACTCTGGGAAGAACTGAGTGACACAGTGAGCCTTCTGATAAAGACTTCGTGTTAAGGCAGTGGTCGTGTTTATTTCATTAGGCCAAGAATACGTTCCTTGCAGCCATTCCAAACAGCTGCAGTATTTTCATCTTAGGAACTGAGCATTATAAAAGTGATTTTAACTCTTCCTCATGACGAATCAAATAATCTAATATTCTAATTTAGTAATACTTTATGGGGAAAATGAATTTTAAAAGAAGGTATAAATATCTAAGATCTACTAAAAACTTTTAAATATTTAAGAGTTCCTTTCAATATGAAACTTATCGCTGATTGTTTTTCTTTAATGTACTCTTTACTTAAAGATATTTCATTGGAAAATATACTCAGTGAAATTTCTTTAATTTCTAGGGAAGTACAGTATATTGTTCTACAGAATATAGCAACTATGTCAATTCAAAGAAAGGTATGTACATTGTGAACACATAATTCAAGAGAGAAATGAATGCATTAGTACCATAGGTGCATTTATATATTTATTTTTATAATCTAGGGTATGTTTGAACCTTATCTGAAGAGTTTCTATGTTAGGTCAACTGATCCAACTATGATCAAGACCCTGAAGGTATGTATGCTCCTGTTTTTCAGGTGATCTAGTACATGTTTACCCTGGAGATATTGCTATACCTTCTAGCGTCTGCAAAATGGAGACCTGCTTTTAAAAAAACATAAACACAATAGGAATTTTCTTTGTACTTTCTAAACTATATTATTATGTTCTAGTTACTTTTACATTCCAATAATACAGAGTTAAGACATGCTGCCTGCACCTTGAATAACTCACAGTTTACTGAAGGAGACAGACATGTAAATAGATAATTTCAGCACTATATGTTTTAAGTGATATGAAGATTTGAATTGAGTACTGTCAGAAACAGAAAGGTGAGATTAATCCTCTGAGAGATTTAAAAAAGACTAGTGGGAAAGATGATATGTGAATGGATCTTAAAAGAATAACATTTTCCTGAGGTTTTTGGTTGTTAGTTGGTAGGTTGATTAGGAGATTGTGGGGTTGGGAGTAAGAGAAAGGCACAGTTTATGCTAACACAAGGATTATGAAAGAGTGTTGTGTTCAGGGAATGATAACTATATTAGAGAGTGTAGTTAGGGATATAAAACTATAATGACTGAAACAATGTTATATTTAGACAGAAAAGTAAGTGGAATAAAATAGAAAGCCTGGAAACATCCATGTGTATGAAAATGTACTATATATTAGAGGAGATATTCAGAAAATATTGGAATGATTGGTTATTCACATGGAAACTGGGTTTAATCATAAGAAAATCTAAGACACTCTCAAATTAAAAGATATTTTACCAAATAATTGGTTTGCAGTCATCAAAAGTTTCAAGGTTGTGAAGATCAAAAGAAAAACTGAGAAACTTTCAGACTGAAGGACACTAAAAAGACAAAGTGTGAGATATTAAACTGAATCCTTTTGTTATACCTGATTGAGACGATTAGTGAAACGTAAATGGGGAGAGATGATTGCATAGCTGTGATGTATCAGTGTTAATTTCCTGGTTTTCTTGATTGTATTGTGGTATGTAGGACAATGGCATTGTTTGTAGGAAATATACACAGAAATATTGGGGAATGATGTGGTATCAGTCTGGTAACTGTATCTCAAATGGTTCAGATCAAAAGTAGTTCTTTTTACCTTTTCTGTGTTTGAGATTGTTTTTAAAAATATTATATAAAAATTAAAATATCCTCATCAAAATAAATGGAAAAGTCAAGCCTTAATCTGGGAGAAAATATTCCTAGTACATATATCTGAAAAATGACTAGTACCCGGAATACATAAAGAACTCTTACAATCTGTGCCTTTTAATTGGAGTGTTTAGACTGTTTACTTTTAATATAATTATTGCTATCGAATGTGTCTGTCTGTATTTTGTGTTTTGTTTCTCTTTGTCCCGTGTTCTCGTTCCATTTTTCCTTTTTCATGCTTTTCTTCAGATTAATTGAATATTCTTTATGAGTAAAAACTGAAATATTTTAAATGAGCCTATTGGAGATGGCCTTTTAATTGTATTTATAGCTATAAATCCAGAAGAGAGAATTAAAATGTCTAAGTATTTGGAATGGTAGGATGAATGAGAACGAATAAAGAGAATTAATTGGTATCTGGAAAACAGAGATATTACATGGAGGACAAGTTGTTTTTTAACTTTCTAAATAAAGGAAAAAGAAGTCAAACTACTTTAAATTGTTTAGATTAATTAAATATAAATTGTAAAGTTGGGACAAACAATTAAGCAAGATTTAGGATTCTCTTTTTCCTAATTATTTTTTAAGGACTGTGTAATTATCTCTCCTCTATTTGTAGATTTAGGGAGATAAAGTTCACCTGAAAGGTATAATGCCTCACAACGTTTGTAACAGTCTGACTTTTTTAAAAAACTGAAGTTACCTCTCTGTTAAATTCCTAGTCTTTATTAAATTCATCCTTTCTATTTGTTTTAAAATATTTACTTTTTCTTTTGTCTACCATAGCTTGAAATTTTGACAAACTTGGCAAATGAAGCTAACATATCAACTCTTCTTCGAGAATTTCAGGTTTGTATACAATATTAATTATAAAGTAACTTCTAAAACATCTGTTCAGTTTAAATTTAAATATACATCTTTCTCAATTTAGAGATAGGTAGTGTGTAAATAAAACAGTGATTTGGGACAAGATTGGCAACTAAGAAATTTATAAATTTTCAAGAATAAACATTAACTACAAATTTAAAGGAAATGGAATAGTAGTCCCTTTCACATTTTTATAGAATTTAAAAGACTGGTTTATATTTCTTTGTTCAAAATTATGATTTCAGCATAATTCCACTCTGTGTGCTGTCATCATCAATATTCCTTTCTATACTCTGCACTCCTGAAAATGGCTTCAGTTCTTACCTGCTTGTCCCTATTTGATTGACCTATCACTCTTTCAGACATTGTCCTCTCAGCTTCATGTATTGCTCCAAAAAAATTGGTTTAAATTTGCCCCCATGATGATTTTTTTATTGTTATTTTTGTTTTGTATTTTTTAAACCATCGACGCTAATGGATGAGCTACCTCCCAGGTACACATCCCCCAAAAATATTCAAAAATTACCTCATGGTTATTAGGCCCTTCATTTTGGAAAGGTCAGCTCTATAAAGAGGTGGTGGTGGAGCCCAGCAATGGGAAACCTCATGTAAATATTATTAGTTTCACATTTCATGAGCAGTATTTTCAATGAAAGTATACCACATGCTACACACTAAGCACAGAGTTTTTGTCAACTCTGAACTTTTTATAGATTTAATTTATTTTGTTGCCATAATCCTTCTATATGCCCATATTAAATTTCTTTTTAGCTGTATATAGACATTGTATTTTTTTCTGGCTATGTGATCTTGTACTTTTAATAGTAGTAGAATATTATAGCATGTCCATGATTTATAATTTCATAAGTGAATTACTGTACTTTCATGCTATGTATTTTTCTAGAAAAGTCTTTTGTAAAATTAGGATTTCTTGGTTACCTATGCATGTTGTGTTTACATGCCAGAAAATATGGTATCTCAAGTTTTTATCCAGTAATCTATAGCTATACAACATTGCTTGAAATTGATTTTTACTTCATTTTTACGTTTGCTTATTTATTTTTAACTTTTGTCTTCATGTTTGCTGTTGTCCTTTCTCCTGTCGTGGTATGTAATCTGTTTGGGGGGCCTTTTGCTGTCTACTTTCTGCTTATATCAAGTTTACTGGGGTTGTAGGGCATGAGTCTCAGGTAATTTTGTAGTATTGTTTAGTTGTACAGAGGTGACACACTGGACTTGTTTCAAAATATTGTTGATCTGGTCATTTCATTTAATATCAAGATTAAGGTCCATTGTTTAGCCAAACTTTAATATATTCTTTCCTCTTGTATAAGCTTTTATCACTGTGTGTATTTGTACCTTCTTTCTGTATTTATGGGTTATATTCATTGGTGTGTACAATTTACTTATAATAACTTTTTGAGTAAAATAGAGAATTTTTGTAAAGACGTATTTTTTTTTTAGTTGAGGAAATTAGGGAATGAACTGGGAACTGGTTTGAAGTACAATTGATCTTTCCGACATGGAACTAAAAGAGTTTAACTTGTTTAATTTATTTCTTCAAGATGTAATCATGTTCTTGATACCATCTTCACTAAATTTATATGTTCTTTTATATATTCTTAGATTTTTCTCCTCCAGTTGTCATTTAGGCACCCTTTAAATGTATAGATGTCAGATGTTAGATAACCATAGTGTTAGTTCTCATTTGAGGTTGGGAATCTTTCTTTAAAATTTCGGTTGAAAATGGGATTTTAAATTCCATTCGTATATAATATATAAATGGAAATATGCATATTAAAAGTACATTCATTTCTGTAAACAATAAAAGCTTAGTTTTTAAATGAAGAAAGTTATGACCAAAGTGAAACTTTTTAGGGCTATGATAAATCTTGTCAGGATCTTTTCAATTCTTGTTGCCAAATAAGTGATTTCTTTCTTTATAAGTTTGTATAAATATATAATTTACAGGGTTTTTTTAAAGCATTGTTTTAAAGAAAATCTATGTTGGAAGTGTAATATTCTATTTTGTTGTAAACAAAGTATTTATAAAGCCTGTATTGAAGTGCTGCTCACTGTAGCTACTGTTGTACTTTTACTGCCATTCAGATACCATTTGGAAAGTAAAGTGTTTGTCGGTAGCTTATTGGTCCTTTTCTTCCTCTTCCAGTTTTTAGATTTAGGATCCCTGAGAAAGCAACCTGTTTTTTCATAGATTCACAGATGCTGCTGGTTAAATGAACTGAAACTTTCAAAGGGAAGAGTTTCATCATCTCCTTCAACTGTGCCCTTACACTGACTGCTGTCTTTGGGGGGCTGCCCACACTCTCTGTTTTGGAGTCACAAGCCGCCATGGCCACAGGGGAATGAACCTGGCTTGAAAACATGCCTCTTCTATGGGCACGTTCTTTGAGTGAAAAAACGAAACTGAATTCAGCTAAGTTATCAGTTGGATCTCCTGTTGTGCCTATAGTTGAGAAGATTATGTATAAAGCTTAATATAATAGGGATTTCTTGTTCACTTGATAGTTTATACAATGTATAAGCTGGTTGAAATACTATTTTTCAGACCTATGTGAAAAGCCAGGATAAACAGTTTGCTGCAGCCACTATTCAGACTATAGGCAGATGTGCAACCAACATCTCGGAAGTCACTGACACGTGCCTCAGTGGCCTGGTGTGTCTGCTGTCCAACAGGGATGGTAAGTTGACAGTTTCACTTTATCTTCAAGTAATTTATCATTTTGGTATTCTTGATATGATCCGCAAATTGTAACATTTTAAGCATTACATTTTAGTTTTTCCTTCTGTCAGTAGCATGGTCACGATGAGTAGTGTTTTATCTTTGCAGTACACACATGCGCACACATACACGCACACAGTTTTTTGTTGTTGTTTTAGTAAATGAGATAATTAACTTTCAAACAGTATTTGTCTTGCCTAAACAGAACTAAGAAAGTGTAATTTGTTTATTTTATTTCCTCACAATTTAACCACCTTCCTTGTACCTTTTCCAGAGGTTCCATTTTACTGCTTTTTAATGGCGTTTAAGTCATGTATAATATTGGTTCACCTGCAGAGGGTGCTAAAAGCAGGCAAATGGCTTTTAATATGGAGAAGTGCCTAGATCAAAACAGTATGTTAAATGCACACCTTCCATTGTTTTTTTCAGAAATTCACCTAGTCATTTTATATTTAAGATTGACTAGATTTAAAAGTCATCAATTTGGAATAGCTTCATGTTTTTAAGCCAAACAATATCTAACCATTTTGTAAAATTCCTTAGGTACTATCCAGTGAAATACGTAATCTAGGTTTCATACTGTTCTGTGGTGAAATGTCAGTTATTTCTATGGTATGGCTTTAGAATAAATGAGACTATTTGGAGAAAGAAAGAAAAATGAGTCGATTTTCACCTTTAAAATAATTTATTTACAGGACTTTTGTTATAATTGTATATTTGATTGAAATAAGATTCTTTTTAGGAAAAGCATAATTTCCTATGTAAAATCATTGAAATTATTTGTGGAATTCTAAATATAATTATGTCATATCTAGACACAAGCATATATGGCATAGGTGAAATGTAACAAAATTGATTATTCTTTATATTTTATTTGAAAAATAACTTTTCGCTACAATAACTTTATTATCCCTAGTTATCTTTTCCCACATGTGAATCTCTTTAGAAAACTGTAACATTGTTTTAAGTACTTCTGATGAAAAAAAATAATGAAACAAAATTTATCCCGCAATAAGAGTGAGATTTTTATTGTGACCATAAAATTATAAACTTTTACCTATAAACTCCAAATATGACAATGGATAGAACTTTTGTCTACATGCAGTATTAACACTCCAAATAAATGGCAACAAAAATTATCAAGGAAATACTTTTCAAAAAGTTTGACTGTAGAAGGTAACTAGGGGAGATAGGATTCTAAATATTATCCATTTTATCTATTTCTGCTTTTAACAATAACATCCTTTTGTTGTCTCTGTTTCTTGTCACATTTTAAAATGTAAGTTAAAATTTTGTTTTATTTTTCTCTGCCTTTAATAATGACTTTCTATTTGAACAAAGAAGATACACTCCTTGAAAAAATTTTTCCAGAACCACGGTTCACCTGGGTAATTGTTGTTGTAAAATATAGTTGCATACAAAAAGCACCACGAATTAGTTAGAACACTGATTACTTCTTCCAAAAACAAAATGTGTTCAAGGTTTCTCAGTTTTATATTTTATGTAATCTTTGATTTTATATTTTGACCCTTTTTTCTTATGTGAAATTTTTAAGCTGTGGATTTTAGAGCAGCTGTTTCTGCTATAGCTTTGTAACTACATTAATTAATTTCTCAAAAAATGTTTTTTTATTGAATTTGATTTAAAAGATGAATATTCTACTCCTGTAACACTTTTTAAGGGAAGAATAGATTGTTTAATAATTAGATAACAGGAGAATAATGTAATCTGTAATCACTCTTAAAGATGGGGGATTTATTACTTTAAACCATGATATGGTAATGTTTAAGCTTGTGTTTTTGGTAAATTAAAACTTTCTTTATATCCATGCATTTTTTCTGTGGTTTGAATATTAAGAAACTTAAATTGTATTGTCTAGAGTCCGGCCGCATAGTCATCATTAACCCACCATACTTGATTCTTTAACTGTTTATCGTATGTGCTACACTTTTGTCATTTGGAAATCTGGCTCAATAAAAGTGAGTGGTAAAACAAATAAGGAGAATATTTATATTAAATCAGTAATATTAAAGGAAGTAATACTATTTTTAACTTTAAAATGGCCAATGCTGACAACAGAGCCCCTTTCTCTTCCTACTGCAGGATCTGCCTTTAGGAATAAATACAATGAATGAGGCCTCAGTTTCTTTAAAATCTGTAAGATTTTTTGAGGCTCTAAGGATCTGTGATTCTTTGGTTTTGTGTTAGTATGAATAGCTCATCATCTCTTCAAATCATCTATCTTAAAACCTCAGCGACAGCATTTACACTCCATTGTTTGTACATATACTTAATAAACTTTGCTTGGACCTGTCTTTTTTGTGTTTTTTAATGTTGTTGACTTCTTCCATCTTGGTATGGAGAAGACTCTTCTAGGCAGGCTTGAAGTTTGCTCTAAAGTAGTCCAATATCACCACCTAAGATTAATTTGATAAACTAATTTCTTGAGGATCTTGAGGAGAAATCTGCATTTCAGTTGGCTCAGGGTAGTTTAGTTCCCTAAGGTAATTTACTTTAGGTAACATATTTGCAAAACTTGCTTGTCTGAATAACCTCCTTATCATCTCTAAGCTAAAAGGATTGGAGAGGAGGACTATTTTTTGTTTTATTTAGTTTTATGTAATTCTATAAGCATTTATTGAGGACATGAATCAGTTGAGGTGTTTAGTGAATGTTGAGTGGATGAATATTTGTTCAGCCTGTAAGAGGTTCCTACCTTTACGGATCTCAAAATCTAACAGAGGGAGACAGTATTATAAAACAAGTCTATCATAGTCTTCTCGGATATGGGCCACTTACTCTGTTGCCAGCTCTCTGCTTACGTGCAGAACTAGACTACCCGTGTTGGAATGTTAGTCATCTTGAATAAATTACCCCATCTCCCTGTGCTTCACATTCTTCATTTGTGAAATGAGGATAATAGACTGTACTAGTCTTGAGGACATTGTGCTAAGCGAGTACAGAGTGATTCCACTTGTATGAGGTAATGCAGTAGTCAAATTCATAGAATCAGAGTGGAGTGATAGTTGCACGGGGCGGGGGAAAAGGGAAGTGGAGAGTCACCGGTCAGTGGGCGTAGTTTCAGTCAAGCAAGGTGAATAAGCTCTAGACATTTATTGTACAACATTATCTCTACAGTCAACCAAACTGTATCGTACACTTACACATTTGAGAGGGTAGATCTCATGTTAAGCGTTCTTACCAAAATTAAATAAAATTTAAAAAAAGCAGGCTGGACTTCTTAGAGTGAGGACCATTAAGTTCTGTTCAGGACAAAGAGCAAGCTAGAAAAGGTCCAGAACATAGAGTCATTTTGTGCTTTTGGTGGAGTAGCACCACAATGTTGTCGTCTTTGAAAACCAGGAGGTACCATAAAGGAAAGGTAGGGTGCAAGTACCTGAAGGGAATGAGAAGGCACCTGGCTGAGCAGGATAATGTACCCCCGTCCCGGCCCTGGTCCCTTCACATATGTCCAGGTCTTAATGCCTGGAATCCATGAATATGTTACCTGCAAAAGGGACTTTGCCGAGGTGATTAAGATTCTTGAGATGGGGGGATTATTTGGGTGGACCCAATGTAATCAAAAGGGTCCTTGTAAGGGAAAGAGGGAGGCCAGGAAAGTCAGCTGTCAGAAGCAGAGGTTGCAGTGCTGCCATTGCTGGAAGGGGGCTTCAAGCCGAGGATTGCAGGCTGCTGCCAGAAGCTGGAAGAAGTGAAGGACGGATCTTCCCCCAGAACCTCCATAGAGAGCTTAGTCTTGTTGACACCTTGATTTTAGTCCCATAAGACTTGTGTTGACTTCTGACTCCAGAACTGTAAGATGATAAGTTTGTGTTTTAAGCCACTAGGTTTGTGGTAATCTATAACAAAATAGGAAACTAACACAGCACCAAATGATAAATAATGCCAGAGATAGATTTCAGTTATAGCTGATCCTGTCTCTGCAGGTAGATAATTAAAATTATGCAACATTTTTTTTCTTACTTAGGCTATGTTTTGAATAATAAATTTTAAAAATACAAATTTTTATACTATGGATTCTTTAAAACCACACTTAGTGTATTTTACTTTTCATAGTAGTTACTTACATAACCATTTAATGTTTCCTACAAGAGTGTAACTTTGATGAGGGCAGGGTCTTGTTCTGATTTATCTTTGTTTTCCTCAGAGCTCCAAGAAGTGGTCTTTATAAAAGTAATACCCGCTCATAGTAACATAGAACATTAGAGATAAAATGGTGCATTCTGGTTCTGAGTTTGAAGTCTGGACAAAATCATATAATTCCAGTGCATCTCTCTTTCTTTGTCTTTAAAATGGTGATAATAAGATAGCTACCATGTGTTATTTTGAGAAGAAAAAGAAATATATGATTTTATAAAACAAAACATTATGTAAATATTAATTTATCATTCTTAAGGAGAAAGAGGTATGCGGGTTGAAATACATACATTTAATAATGATTAGATTGGTAAAAAATTTTGCTTATATTCTTACAGGGATCTAGATAAGAAAATATATTTCAGAGAAAAAGAGTAACAGAACACAAACCATGGTATTTCCAGCTTATAGTGTAATTGTATTTATATTTTTATATAAAATTTGTATTTAAATGTATAAGTTTTTGTTATATTTTATTTCTTTGGCATCCGTAGCATTAAGAATCGTTTATATAAGATTCATTCCATAAGGCCTGATGCTCGTGTTATGTTACATTTCTCTACTGGTGCCACCAGAAATGTAACTCTGGACCAGTGATTAGCCACTTCAGTGTGATAACTCAATTTCAGAATCCCAGTTTGAGGATCACTTCCTGGAGCCACTCCCAGTACTGCTTACTGTGTTAGTTAAGTCCTGGCAAGAAATAGATGACACACTTAAAAAGGGACGATTGAAGAGAATTTAATGAAGGAACTATTTATAAGGTATGGGCAAGATTAAGGGAAACCAGCAAGGTATGATGTAGCATCCTGAGGCTGACAGGCTTGCAATGGTGGGAAGCCTTTACCATCCCTAGAATTGAAGGGAAGTGGGGTGTGAGGAGTGGGAGCAGTGACCAGACCCTGCAGGAGAGAGCCACTCACAGGAACTGAAACCTTCAGTGGAGGAAGGCAGGCACTGCCAGAGAGGCCTGGCAGGAGAGAGATCCAGGATAATAATATTCTTTCCTCCCGCCCCCTGAACTCCTGCTGGTGCTTCCTGTTGGCTAACACAGCGGGAGGTCAGGGGCAAGGGAGTCTGATTGATGCAGTCCACAGAGGTCAGCCTCCAACGGCACAGAGACAGGCCAAGAAAGGCAAACAGTGGCTTCTGGGGACAAATGGAGACAGTCCAGCCAGAGTCCCACTCTTTCTGGCCCTGAAGTCCATGCTATTTCTATAGGAACACCTTTCCTATCACTACTGATCCTTTCTACTCACTTTTATGGACATATCATTTAAGCAATTCCGATTTTCTTTAGAATTGGAAAGATGTTAATTTAGATTATAGGTGTTTGATTACCACTATATAATTGGTAGGAATCAAAGAACAGTATTTGAGAACTATGGTTAAAAGTCAGAGACACTTGAACGTTATGGTGATTGCATAGCCTAACCTTGCTTTGCTTTTTTGACTTCAAGAAGCAGAGATTAAAAGGGATATCAGAAGCTAGGAGACAGCAACAGAGGTTAGAAATTAAAGCGTACTCTTCTACCTAAGACAGATGTTCACCCCAAAAACTTGGAAGTACACTCATGTTATAGTTTTCACCCAGTTATTTAAGGCATGTAGAATGTTTTGCTAATTTAAATTTATATTTTACCAAGGATAATGCATTTGAATTGAATTACATATATTAAATGAGTAATTTTTTTTTTTTCAGAAATTGTTGTTGCTGAAAGTGTGGTTGTTATTAAGAAATTACTGCAGATGCAACCTGCGCAACATGGTGAAATTATTAAACATATGGCCAAACTCTTGGACAGCATCACTGTGAGTACCAACTGAGAGATCTTTGCTGAATTTTGCTCAGTAAATTTTAGTTTTGTTAAAAGAAACGGACATCCTAAAGTATAGTGGTTAAGACTCCTCAACAGTCTGGATTCAAATCCTCGTTCTAAGGTCACACACTGCTGTGGAAGGGAATTGTAAATCTGAAAAAGGAGTGGGATACAATAAACTCTGCAGTGCTGGATTAGCTGTGGAGATGTCAGTGTGAACATCATGGGTTTGTATACAGAGATGTCTAGATGGGCATGTGTGTCTACACATGATCACATGTACACCTATGAATGCATATATGAGTATACAAACATCTTTGTCCCAACACTGTCTTTTGAGAGGGCCTGCGTGCAAGATACCCCGGACCAAAGAGTTCACCTGGTGCCCAGATCTTGTTTCATTTTAAATGAAATATAATTTCATAACATAAAATTCACCCTTTTAAAGTATATAATTCAATGGTTTTTGGTATTTTTTAAGGTCATACAGCCATCACCACCGTGTAATTCCAGAACATTTTCATCATCCCTGAAAAAGAATCCCATACCTCAAACTCCTGACCCTCCCCTTACTCCAGCCCCTGACAACCGCTAATCTACTTTCTGTCTCTATGGACTTGTTTATTCTGGTCATTTCATATAGGTGGCATCACAGAATAAGTGTCCCTTTGCGCCTGGCTTCTTTCACTTAGTGTGTTTTCAGGGTTCGTGCATGTGTAGAGTGTAGGACTGCAGTCCTCTTTGTTTTCAGGGTTCGTGCACGTGTAGAGTGTAGGACTGCAGTCCTCTTTGTTTTCAGGGTTCGTGCATGTGTAGAGTGTAGGACTGCAGTCCTCTTTGTTTTCAGGGTTCGTGCATGTGTAGAGTGTAGGACTGCAGTCCTCTTTGTTTTCAGGGTTCGTGCATGTGTAGAGTGTAGGACTGCAGTCCTCTTTGTTTTCAGGGTTCGTGCATGTGTAGAGTGTAGGACTGCAGTCCTCTTTGTTTTCAGGGTTCGTGCATGTGTAGAGTGTAGGACTGCAGTCCTCTTTGTGGCAGATCTTCGTTTTTAAATTCCATTCGTCACTCAAAGGAACCAGGGCTCCTTAAAGAAATGGCTATTTCAGAGCTAGGGCAAGGCAAGAACAAGATGATCTTGTTCTTTTTTGGCCAAAAAAGCAAGGAAGTGCTCAGAGAATGATAGAGACACAAGAGGCAGCTTGAAGGGGCTCCCACTGACCAATTTGAGCAACAAAATAAATGACAGTAAAACGATTATATCCTGTTGAATAGGGTATGACTCTCTGATCCACACTGGAATGAATGAATGACTGAGTAGGGGAGAAAGAGAGGCTCCTCCTTACACTGCAGAAGCAACTAAGGTACAAGGAATGATGGAATTAGAATATCACCATTTGCCAGCCATCACAACGAGAACTGATTCAAGCAAGAATCATTAACAAATGCTAAAAGGTAGGGGGGGTGAAAATTTGACCCCCCTTACTGAAAAGTAACAGGTTATTTGCGCAGTCTCAAAGTATATGCTCATAAGATACTCAATTACAAAGAGTAAATTAATGACTTTTGACTTTACAATGGAGAAATCTGGCAGATGCTACCTAAACCAAATCCCTATGATGGCATTTGTTTGCCGGTGATGGAATCACGTACCTTCTGCCATGATACACTGAATAGAACTATGTCTGTTGAATTCTTGCCCACAGTGAATGACTTCAATCTAATCAGGAGGAAACATGAGACAAAACCAAATGAAGGTATTCTACAAAATAACTGGCTTGTGCTCTTTAAAAATGCCAATATCATGAAACAGAAAGAAAAACTCAGGAACTTTTTCAGATTAAAAGGGTATGGCAACTCCATGCAACACATAATTTTGGATTTTCTTTTGCTATAGAGGATTTTATAATTGGGATAATTGGCAAAATCTCAATAAAATCTGTAGGTTAGATAAAGTATTCGTTCAGTGTTTAATTTCCTGATTTTTAAATAATTTTACTGTGGCTATGTAAGAGCATCCCTTTATTAGGAAGTTTGTACTGAAGTATTTCAGGGTATAAGGGTGTGTCTATAACTTTTATCAATTCAGAAACCACAATGTGTTTGTATATGTAGAGAGAAAGCTAAATAAAGCAAATGTAACAAAACGTTAACTTTCGGGGAATCTGGGCGAATGGTATTCAGAAATTCTTTTTACTCTTCTTGCACCTTTTCTATAAATCTAAAATTGTGTTTAAAAATTAAATTAAAAAATAAATATTAATCTCAGCTCTGCCTCTTACCAGCTCCGTGTCCTTATATTAAAATCTCTGTACTTGACTTTTCCTATCTTGTGAAATGGTGATAGGAGAGGAACCCATACTGTTGTAAATATTGCGTTAGTTAATATGTGTAAAGCTCTTAGAACATCGCCTGGCATATAGTAGGGCTGTGTCAGTGTTAGCTGTTCTAAGTATTTAAGTCCTATTTTATTCTCTTCTTCCTTTTAGAGGTAAAGTTTTTGAAAGAATTTTCTGAAAAGAATTTTATTTCCTTACCTCAGACTCACTCCTCAACCCATCACAGTCCGATTTGGCTCCCTCCCACTCCACTAATTCTCCCTTTTCCAAGGTCCCTAACTCCTTATTAAATTCAGTGAATAATTTGCTGTTCATCTTTCCTGATCTTTCTTAGCATTTGACTTCACTGACCACTTCTTCTCTTTTGAAACATTCTCTCTCCATGGCTGCTCTCTGGTTTTTCTTCAAACTCTTCTCCACTGTGTTTGCCTGTTACCATGCCTATCCCTTGAATATTAGTTCAAGTTTGACAACTAATGTGCTGTAACTGGTAGGGTTGTAGTTTAGGGGGAGTATATTACTTCCTTCTTTGAAGATGGGTAATCTGTACTCTGAGTCTGTTCTGAGGATCACATTTGTGTAGTTAAAGGTAATGGATGGCAAGGTTTTGGAGCCTACCAGTCAGGACCAATTTCTAATATCTCTGCTGGCAAAATTTTCTTTCCCTCAGGGTGTTATTAAAGCTTACAGGCCAATTAGACACTTATCTTAAAGCTAAGGATAAAGCTAAGACTCACAGGAGTCACTTAACGTCTGAGCTTTCACCACGTCTCTCACCAGAGAGTTCCTTTGTCTTATTTCTACTCTTATTGTTAATTAGTAAAGTCAGAACTGCTCATAAAGTTCGTGTGTTAGAGATGTAGGGGTTAAGAGAGTGGATTTGAAAACAGATGAGTCAGGTTCAAGTTTAGTCTCTACCTTTTTACCAGCTTTGTGAACTTAAGCAAGTTACTTCTCTATGCTCCTGTTTTCTCGTCTGTAAAAAGGGAACAGTAACACTAATAACCTCACAGATCTGTGTGAGGAGTAAATGAGTCCGTGTGTGTGAAACACTTAGAACAGCACTTAGTGTAAACTGTTAGTATGATCGTGGCTATATTTAATGTTTTTGAGGGAAACAAACTTGATGATAAGGTTTAAATTTAGTAAGTGTTCTTGTGGTCCCTTTTATATTTTACTTATTTATTTAACATAACTCCTGTAGTGCTAATCATATGCCAGGCACTATTCTAAGCACCTTAAAAATACAAATAATTAATTTTAGTAACAACTCTGCAAAGCAGGTACTATTAGTATTCACATTTTACATAAGAGAATACTGAGGCACAAAGCAGTTAAGTAACTTGCCTTAGGTCGCATAGCTAGTAGGTCTGCTTTCCTAACCAGTATACCATGCTATATCTCTCTTCCATTTCTAGTCTCTTTTTTGTATTCAGTTCACTTACCTGCTCACTGACCTGGCTAGGATTTTATTATTGTTGTTTCCCTTTGCTTCCCCAAAATCTTTGACACATTGGGCATTAGATTGACATGGTCCATGTTTGCCCAAATGTGGAACAGATGTTTGATGTTGTTTGTCAGTGATGTATTAATGGGAGATGAGAAGGTAAACCTTCCTCAAGTCCTGAGATGGACATCCAGCATCTCTGTGTACCAAGCATCAAATTTCAGTAGTATCTGTAGTCATTGTAACAACCACAAATACTCCTACACATGTTTAGATACCTCCTAGGGAAGTGGTGTGTTCGCCAGTAAGAACCAGTTTTCTATCCAGTAACTAATAAACCAAAGCAGGGAACTCTAGATAGGGGAAGACCGTGAATAGAGATACGGACATGAGGATATGTGCGTATTTACAGACATAATTGAATGTGTAGGGATAGACTAGGAATGTCTTAAAAAACTGCTCAGTGTGAACTGTTGGAAAAGAAAGGGCATAATATGAGGGAAATTCTAATAATCTGGAACTGAAAATCTGGAGCAATCTTAGAAAACCTAGAGGTAGGATGGGATTGGGGCAGAATCACAGTGTTTGGAAGGCCTTGTAGGAGGAAGAGAGTGAAGGGAGGTGAAATTATTTTAATGTTCTTGTCTTGTGTTTAAAAAAGTAGGTAAAAATAGATTATCTTGGGGTGAAAACAGTGGGTTTTGGTGGGGGAAATAGTTAATATCTTGTTTCTAGGTAATAGTGGAGAAATGTGTGTCTGATTATGAGAAGGAAATAGGAATGATGAATTCTGTATTCCCAAATGTCTTGTGCAGAATTTAGTTAAAACTTGTGTTAGTAAACTTGTTCTGGTTTTTTTAGAAAGGGAGAGATGGTTACAAGAAGTGTTAGGGCTTTTTGGTGAATGTGCTGCTTATACACAAAACTTATGACAGTGTATGAGATCCATATCAGGCAAACCTCAGACTTTCTTGGAAGAAAAATTTGTTGTATTTGACTGTATCCCAGTCTGGGGCTAGTGGACATTTTTGATTGCATCAACTTTCTAAATGACAGTTGTTGGAATATTAGCCAAGTAGATTCTTATAGATCTATATAGCAAAGTTTGTTTTTTGTTTTTTTGTGTTTTTGTTTTTGTCAGAAGATAACCATTAGTGGAATACAAAAGTGTGGTGGGAATTCCAAATTCACAAAGGGAAAAAAGGGAAT